AAGCAGCCTGCACCGTCAGCACAATTGAATCACTTTGCATAATTCAAAACATTAAGTGTCAACGCAGGTTATAAGCTGTAGGCATCCCTTTATTGCTAACGTTGCTATTTTATTACAACAGGCGCTAATGGGGTTAGAACTTAAGTCCTGACAACGTATGAAAAATTATAGGCGCTAACGCACGAGGTTGGCACTTTAATTAAAAAAAACAAGGACTTTATACGTTGACATTTATTGGTATATGTACATAATTATAATAGTAACTTACCAGAGCACTTTAGCATAATATATGTAAGAATATTCAAATATTCCGACATAGGGTAATAAATTAAAATTATCACGTAGAAACAATTACTTTGTCCAATGGCAACAACGGTAGTTATTGTTATTAATCAATACTCAAACAAAATGAATGATTATAGTGTATTTACAAACATTTGTATAGATAACGTTTTATACTAATTATGTCCTTAATACTTGATTGCTTCGGATAATAATAAGTTAATATATATTTACATTAACTTACTTTATTTTTTGAACACAATTAAGGTATAGGTCGTTTCAATCTTTTCAGTGAGACAGGTGGGAAGTACCCTCCTGCATTTATTTATTCCATATTTAAAACATTCTGCGCTGCTCGCGTGAAGTTCCGAGCCCGCAAGATGTTTGAATAACATTATACTTTGTTCTTTTGAAGTAATTTGTTTATACATGACCGTAATTAATGGTTTATTCTTCAGAGTTATTTTCATGAAAGGTAGTTTTTTAATAATGAATTAGATAAACAAACTGAACTGTATTGTTATGACTTTTATAAATATTTACAAATAAAAAAACGTTATCAATTGGAATATTTTTAGATTTAATCTAAATATTGAGATTGTGGACACACTAAAGTAATTAATTTTTATATAAAAAAGATATTCATATATTTTCATACTTGATTTAATTTTCAATTTACCAAAAATTACCCAAAGAGAATTTATTAAACTACTTAGAGTTAACATAGTCGTATGTACGTAATGTTAGCTTTTTAACTATTTTGATGCATTCTGTATTCTTGAAAGTTATTTAGTCTGTGCTATAAATCAATACCATTTGTTATAATTTGAAATAACGATATAAGCTTTGTAATGGTGATCCAAAACATTATTTAAAATATTTATGTCATGGTTTTCAAATGTCGTAATTGTGCTTATGTTAATAATCGGATAGTAGTCGGATATCAAAAATAAGGGTGTTGCATTAGTTCGATGATACAACGGCCATATTGGTAAGGTTATTCTGTGCAAATTGGAAGAAAACATAAGAGGTAATAAAGACTATATTTTATTAAAGCATAACATGGCTGTGACGCCCATAGTAAGAAATAAGATACTAAAGTTAAATATATGTACACTAATCTGAACGCTTTAAAACAATTGAATGTGAAATATACAAGTAATCGAAATAACCAGACAACCTATTTTAACAGAAATAACATAACTTAAAGTATTTTTACCTGGCTTTATATCTTCATCATGGTTTCCGTGGGGCCACAGAAGACCCAAAAATGAAATTTCGTAATTACGAAATAGAAAAATTGTCATAGAAATTTGATAAGAAAAATGAAAAAAAAAAGAAAGAAAAATTAACTTACAGCTTTGATGATTTAGCATGTCCTAGAAAAGAACAAAAATAACCTATCTACTGTCTATAATAATTGTTTTATAACATTTACTTTTGAACTTCTATGAAAATTCATAAATTAAGTTATGTGCGTACTCGCCCTTATTTTTCTTTCGATTACGATCTACAAGTTATCAGATTTTGTTCAAAAAGTACAAAAGTATAGTCCGTCATTTACTTTACTAGAGTTCAAAGTGAAAAAATGAAGGCGATCATTGTATTAGCGACTTTTGGTAAGTGTACATTTAGGAAAAATAAAAACTTATAAAAAAAAGTATTTTAAAAAATGTTTTTTTTATTTCGACATATGAAGGTCATATGTAACACAAATATGTTTCCATTTTTTTTTCAATAGGAATATCAAATTCTATAAAGCCCTCTATTTATTCAGTTTTATTTAACTAGAATTTAGTATACCCAGTTAAAAAACAAAAAAAATCGACTGAATTGTTTTATACTTAAATGCCAAGTCTAATGCGGTTTTCTAAAGGGCTGGAAACAAAAAGCCCAAGATATACCGATACAGAGAAATTCACTGGACCAGGCCCAGGTCCACCCGCAGTTGTAATGCCTCTAATGCTGATGACGAATGCGGGTTTACTGGACTCAGGATTTAATTATTTTTTACGTAAACATTTTTATGTATGTGTTTGTATGACGATTATGAGCTTTTAGTCTAAACAGCTGAACTGATTTATACTAACAAGTTAGCATATAGTCAGTTGGATTAATTTTTTTTTGTTTTTCAATCTACATTTTTTTATTAGTGTATTTTATTTTCAGTGTGTGTTAGCTTGGCGGTACCAGTTACGAAAGATGAACGTTTCATTGAGGTAATTGGTGGTGATGACAAGATTCATATTGTAGACTTGGAAGAGAAAATCGATGAAGACGTTTTACAACGTATGGCGAGGAATCCACGAAATCGATATTTCCTCTACACGCGGTAAATATAAAAAAATACGTTTTTTGCTAATAGTGTATTTTGATAGTGAAAAGAAAAATTTGAAATATTATTGTTTCAGATTAAATCCAACCTCGGCGCAGCTTTTGCAAATAGATAACATTGATTCTGTTTTATCGTCAAATTTTAACCCTAACGTGCCGACTGTGGTGGTGGCTCACGGATGGTTCAGCAACCAAAACACCAACATAAACCCTGTCATCAGAGATGGTAATTTTCTTTATAAGAATGACTTCATTGAATGTAAATTATACAAGCAAAACAATTAAATATAATTGTAGAAATATAAAAACGAAATCATTATCACCAGCTCACTATACGTCCCCACCGAGGAGCTCGGAGCCTACCCTAATAAGGAGTGACTAGGCCATAATCAACCACGCTGTCCAAGTGCGGGTTGGTTGACTTCACACATATCTTTGAATTTCTTCGACATGTGCAGATTACATCACGATGTTTTCCTTCACCGTAAAAACGCCGATTAAATTATGTACATTATGAGATTCGAAAAATCGAAAATCACATTGGAACATGGCGGGATTCGAACCCAAGACCTGTATATTAGAAGTCAATTGCTCAAACCACTGAGCCATCCACGTTAAGCGAAAATGTAGAGAACAAATTAGAGAACTGATATTAAATAATTTCGGTAAATGCAACTGATATAGGTAACTTCCCTTAACGCATCTGATAAGCTTGAACCGCGCTATTTTTGTTGCGTCGTCTAATTCTTAATCGTTTTATTTCCAGCATATCTTGAGAGAAGCGATGTCAACGTGATCATTTTAGACTGGAGTAGAATCGCAATGGGTAGCTATCTAAACGCAATCGCTAACATACCGAACGTGGGCAAAGCACTGGGACAATTCTTGAACTTCTTGAGCGAAACGACTGGTGCATCGCTTGAGTCCATGCATTTGGCAGGATTCAGTCTTGGCTCCCATGTGGTTGGTAATGCTGGAAGGGAATTGAATGGCAAAGTTGGACGTGTCACAGGTAAATATGAAAAAAAAACAATCTAAACATACATATTCTTTAAAATATAAATGAAATATTTAAGTATTCACTATCTATACTTATTTATACTATTATAATAAAGCGTAAACACACACTTCTTTGTTGCCTAAGATGTCAGCAATTATAGCAAATTTTTGAATAATTCTTTTTTTAATAAAAAGCCCTACACTTACGTCACGCTTTAGGCTACATATTTTCACGTAATTAAACCTAGGGGGTAAATGTTTTGGATAAAAACCCTAATGTGGGAAAGAGACCATAAGTTGCTGCCAACATCAAGGAAGCAAGATTTGTCATGGCATGTCATTTTGACATTTGCAATTGACAATTTGACACATGTAAACAATAAAATAATTTTATGCTGATAAAGTCGCACGGAAACAGCTAGTTACTATATAAACATTCCATAAAAGTTGTAACGTTGTTTAAATAACGTCATAATTTTTATCAATTGGTATTATAATTACCTGATAAAAAAACGAGTGAAAACCGATTTTTGTTGGTATTATTAATTATTATTGAAGCACTAATTACTTTATATGTTGATGGAATCACAGCATTACGATTAATATTATTTTAGACTTTGTTTCCAAGCGCTTGTAGAAACATTTATCGATGTACTGCCATATTAGTGATAATTGCAAAGCTTTAATTAATCTTATGAAGTTATATAGAATTACGTTTACATGTTGAATTTAAATTCTATTTCAATACCCATATGATAACACACATATTGCTGTTTTTGATGTCAATACCCGGAAGCAAACGAGCAAGCGGCCACCTGAATCCGCCGAAATGGAGAAGCGACCGTTGCCTATAGACATCCGCAGTTGCAGATGCTTTACTTCCCTTAATCGACGGAAAAGGAGACGAAAGGATGGGGAAATATCCGTGCATCTCCTCCACCATCGAATGCACTTTTCCTTCCCATCCTTTCCTCTTAAGAAAAGGGTGAAAAGAGACTAAAATTACGCCTTATATAACAAACGCCCTAGTCATAAGCTTACATTCCTTAGAGCGAGTACACCTTTGACTAAACTAACACTCAACTGTAGATTCTAGGAATCAAAGTGTGATAGTTTAGTCGAAGGTTTACGTGCGCTTACAGAATATGTTGAAAGACAAAACTAAAACACTCCTAATAAAAATTGATGGAATATTTCTGGTACATTCAGGTCTTGATCCAGTCAGTCCAATTTGGCATAATAACAAAAATCGCTTGGACAAAACTGACGGCCTCTACGTGGAAGTCATCCACACCAATGGCCGTGGAAGTGGTGCCAACATGGCTCTTGGTCATGCTGATTTTTATCCTAATGGTGGCAAAAGTCAGCCAGGTTGCTTAACTAGTATTTGCAATCACAACCGTTCTTGGGAATTATTCGCCGCTACAGTGAAATACGATCATTTAGTTGGTAAAGAATGCTCTTCAGAGAATGAAGTTGTATCCAACAAATGTAATGGAAAGTCATATAATATGGGCAATGGAGATATGTCTAAATCTGGGTTGGTATATTTTGTTACTAGCAGTTGCTCGAGCCTTTGCTCGCGTAATAAAAAATATAGCTTATGTTACTCACTGAAAACGCAGCTTTTTAATGGTGCAAGAATTTTTAAAATCGGCCCAGTAGTTTGTGTTATTTTAATACATACCAAAATCTTTCTTCTTTATAATATCAGTATAAGTATACAATACAATCTCGTCTCGTCATTTGATCCATCTTCTGTCAGTCCTATCTTTTAAACGGTATTTCTTCAAGTAATTGTATTACCTTCTTATTGTTAATTGCCATCATCTATGACAGTAAGAGCGTAGGCCCACCTGAGACTAAACTATCCGCACAACTGTTTAGTCTTGCTTTGATTGCTCTGAGCTCATAAGTAGGTGCACCACTTGGTTTTCAGTTGTTCAAATAAACAGTTGAATTGGCTGCGAAACAATCGACAATCGCACTACAGTCAAAGATTTGTGCTTTGTGATTATCAAATTCTTCGGAAGTTATATTATAATAGTTGTTTTTTTTATTTACAGATCTGGATTATATGGGTTGACGACAACAAGCAGTTATCCTTATTAACAAATATTAATTTAAATTATTCTTAAACAGACATTACAAGTGATAAAAAAAGAAATTATTTATTCAATCATTAATGTAAAGAGCTATGAATATATAAATGTTAATTTTAAATTGAATTTTTGTTTATTTTTTTCTAAATAATGTATACCTCCTTCATCTTAAAATAAAACGACTTGCTGATAAAATGCACACTTCCTTATTTAAGTACGTGGTCTAGCGCTGGTTTATTAAACGCAAGACAAGCTGTTGCTCGCGACTTCATCTGCGTGAAATTATAAATTTTAAAAAAAGAAAAAAAAATCAGCCTATATTACTCATTGATATCACCGCTCTTTAATGGTGAAAACATTTTCAAAAACAGCCAGTTTTTGAGTTATATTCATACAAAAATAAATCTTTCCTCTTTATAATATTAAAATAGATAAAACATTTTTTCCGACCATCTTCAAAGCACCAATAAGTCAGATTTCAGTTAATATTTTAAAAGTGACAAGGAAATAAATCTATATACCTTTTAAGTCTGCCTTTTTGTAGACAAGTTAAGCGGTATTAATTATATTCATTTTCATTAGTAGAAATATTCATTGCGTAGAATTTTTATCTTTTGTCCACATAAAGACAATTCTAATAAAATATTGCACCCCAATTTTTTCTTAACAAACTTAAAGCCATCAAAACTATAATGAACTAACCTTTTCACACAACTAATCCTAATGCACTGAACAGTACTATCAATGGTACTTAATTGTCTATTTTTATCAACAATCTATTTTTAATCAAAACGAGATTATAATTCAATAAGCTAAAATCGTTTGAAATTTTAACAAATCGTGTAACGGATTACTTGAGATAATTATCTAAAGAAAAACACCACTATCGCTAATCGAAATATCCAGTAAAGGTCATTATACAAGCTTTTGCCCGCGACTTCATCCACGCAATAATAAGATAAAAAATTAGGCTAAAATATGCCTGTCTGTCTGCTAACCTACGGAGAAAATCCGGTCAAAATCGGTCCACCTGTTTCGGAGATTATCCGGAACAAACGCGGCTTGTGTTGCGCGACAGACAGACAGACTGACAGAAAGACGCACAAATTTATCAAATATTTTAAATGCGATCTTCGTTATCAGCAACGCAAATACATCATCTTCTCGAAATCTGGAATTGTTCTTTTGATATTACAAACAGACACACCAATTTAATATATGTATAGATGGTAAAGGAAAATATATTTTAATCATAAAGACGTAGACATACTATCTAATAGACTACTTTTTTTTTTAATTTATCTGGTGTTCCACCAAAGAATCATACTGTTCAATAGATTAGGACAAGAATAAAAGAACTGATTGGTCTTTCAATGTTCTATGTTTATATCAAACTAGTTTCCCGCGACACCGTACGCGTGGAATTAAAAAAAAAGTAAGTAGCCTATGTCTTCTTCCTGACTATGCTCTACATCTATGCCAAATTTCATTGAGATCCGTTTAGCAGTTTAGGTTACAAACTCTAACAAACATCCATAAAAACTTTCGCATTTACAATATTAGAAGATTTATAAATTTGATCTGTGTGTATACAGCACTAACATACTTAATATAATTCATCAGGATCTTATCTTAGCTGTCATTATTTTTAATTCAAATTTGCGTATAAATAGAAAGGAATTTAATTGTTTACATACATATTAAACATTCAAAACGTGACAATGAAAACAATTTTACTTCTAGCAAGCCTCGGTAAGTGTAGTGTTTAAATAGTTTTAATTATTAACTTTCCCGACTCAGTCTGAGTCAGAGGCCTAATTTTACTCCCTTTCCCTTTCCACTCTCTTCTTATGAGGAAAGGAAAAGTGAATTTGACAGTAAAGACGCATAGGAAGGAAGAAGTGTCCCCTTTACATATGTGCGTCTCCTCCGTCAGTTAAGGGTAGGCAGCGCGTCTGCAATTGCGGATGTCTATGGACAGCGGTTGCTTTCCATTACGGTGTATTCAAACGGCCGCTTGCTTGTTGGCCACCTTACATTATAAAAAAAAAGTTTATGCGGAATTAAAGAAGAAAATAGCATCTGTGTTCTTCTAGAATATGGTCTATATCTGTGCCAAATTCCACCGAGAGTTCAGTCGTTCTGGACAAACCTTATCTCCGGAACACGAATGTGAAAAAAGGTCTCCGAAGTTTATTTATTGGTATAACTTTCCTTAGTGTTGTCATTCAAAATAAAAATGTCATTTCAAAAACTAGCCCCAAGGACGGTAGGGCGTCTTCCACCAGGAAGTCGTTGGATCCGTAAGGCGCAGGACCGCATTGTGTGTAAGGTATTGGGTAAGGCCTATCTCCAACAGTGGGCAGAAATAGGCTGATGATTTAAATAATTTAAACGATCCATGTGTAGGTTACTTATCTGTGAATTAAATACACATAATATAGGACACATACATAGGCCCACCAGGTGCCAGGAAAGTCGGCAGACCAAAACAACGTTGGAAAGACGTTATCGTACAAGAAGTGGGAAAAGAATGGATGAAGAAAGGAAAATATAGGGACTTATGGAAAAGGTTGGAGGAGGCCTATACCCAGAATGGGGTCCAGTTACTGGAATAAGAAGGCTAAATAAATAAATATATTACTTGAGACCATAATCTGATGAAAACTCTTCAGTGAGATAAGCTATGTCTAATTTTCTTCACAGCTTGCGTGTCTCTCGCTGCACCGGTGTCAGAAAATGACGTCAGCAAACGCTTCATAGAAGTCATCGGCGGCGACAACAAGATTCATACAGTTGATTTAGAAGAGGAAATTAATAATGAACTTTTAGAAGATTTGAGCAGACATGCTCGGAACCGTTACCTATTGTTCACTAGGTAAGTAAATTAAAACATAAAATTTAAATATTAAATTGCTTGCAAATCGACTTAGTACGGCAAGGACAATTTTTAATATATCCTAACATAATAAGTTATAAATACGATATAAACCGATGTAGTTCTACAAAGATCGTATATTAAATTTGGCCATAAATGTTCATTTCTTTCATCGAATTATTTGTGTTAAAAATACCAAAACGGGCACAGTAGTCCTGTATAATTAAAAGATTTTTTCCTTTACAGATCTAACCCGTCTTCTTCTCAAGTCCTGGTGATGAATAATGCCGATTCGATAAGGTCTTCCAACTTTAACCGTAACCATGCAACCGTGGTTGTCGCCCACGGATGGGCAAGCAACCACAACACAAACCTAAACCCTGCCATTAGGAACGGTATACATTTTTATTTCTTGGAATTACACATGACCACGTCCTTCTTTTCACTACGAAGAGGAATTCAATCCAACAATAGACTGTCAACATTTTTGTTATTCGTGTATTAATTTTAGTCAACTACCACTAAGTCTTCGCTTAGAATTTTCTTATTCAAAAATTTATTAAACTCAACGAGACATATCAGTGTTGAAACTCCTCCTCGAATCCCCCCTTAATTTACATACCTATAGCTGCACAAAATCAAATAGAGTATGCTAGCAATGTGCTACCAACTGTGTGTTGTAAAAACTACGAACTTCGTAAAAGTAATAACTGTGAAAAATCTTTGACTTGTTGCAGCTCTTCTCAGTAGACACAACGTGAATGTAATAATCCTGGATTGGAGTCATCTGGCAATGTCGAGTTATGCTCTAGCCATCTCCGGTTTACCGAATGTCGGTCGTGGTCTGGGACAATTCCTTGCCTTCTTGAGCAGTGTGACCGGAGCTTCCTTACAATCTATGCATTTGGTTGGCTTCAGTTTGGGAGCACATGTCGTGGGTAATGCTGGAAAGGAGTTGAATGGCAGAGTTGGACGAGTCACTGGTAAGCTACTTTAATATTGAATTTTAAACTATATGTAAAAGAAAATAAGAATAATTTTTCAATACATATCGTAGCATTGCATGTAAGAAAATTTCTTGATTTGTTTTAAAGAACATTACATAGTATTTAAAGAATTTGGTGCAGTCTATTTCTTTCTGTCTACACTTCGTGGCATCGTGTTATAAGATCTAAATTAAAAATAATATTATTTCTATTATTTCAGGTCTGGATCCAGTTAGTCCCGTATGGGAGAACAACAGAAATGCCTTAGCAAGAACTGATGGTATTTACGTAGAAATCATTCACACGAACGGCCCAAGCAGAACTCCAAACAACAATGTCGGAGATGCTGATTTCTATCCTAATGGAGGCAGCAACCAACCTGGTTGCTCAAACAGTATTTGCAACCATAACAGATCTTGGGAATTATTCGCTGCTACGATCAGTAACAATCATCTAGTCGGCAGAAGGTGCTCAAATCTACGTGAAGTGGAAGCGAATACTTGTCAAGGAAATACACTAGTTATGGGAAATGCTGTCGCTAACAAATCTGGGTATGTATTCGAAGCATAATAAACGTCTCAATAAACTTTCTTATATATTGTTATTTCGTCTTCTTCAATAATTGTTAATAGTCTTGAAGCGTATTTATTTTGATTTTATAATTTTTATTTGCAGATCCGGCTTGTACCGCTTGACGACTGGAAATCGACACCCATTCTAAAACTCAGAGTCAACTAAAAAACAAACCTGTCAAATTCGCCATAGTGTGTTCATTTTAAATGTTATTTATTTCTTTTTTTGTATGTCCTTAAATTATTAAATCGAGCAATATTAAACTGTTTTTAATTTTTAAAATCCTACTTAATACCTACATATACAAAGACGCAAAAATGTGCATGGAATCGATTTTCATATAAGCTGAAAATAAGTTACTTAACACTTAGTACATTAATAAACTTTCCCACGCTTAAGTTTAGTCGAATGTAAAAGTTTCCTCTAATACTTTTATCCCTCTTCATAACTATTACTTTGGGAGCTTTAAGTTAGCTAACTTGTAATGAAATGTGCTCTCATACGCTTACGATGTGTTGAGGATTATCACAAACGTTTCAAGTTGCAAGTGTTTCATCATACTTTATGTTGTTTGTTTATTTACAACATACTAGCTTTTTCCCGCGACAGCGCCTGCGAGGAATAAAAAAACTTAATAAGTAGTCTGCATGTTCTTCTAGACTATGTTCTATAAGGTTGATTTCATCGCGATTTTTTTTTATTCCCTTTCCACAATTTTCTTAAGAGGAAAGGATGGGAAGGAAAAGTGGATTTGACGGTGGAGGAGACGAAGAGGAAGGGGAAATGTCCTCTGTACGTGCTTCTCCTCCTCCGTCAATTAAGGGTAGGCAACGCATCTGCAATTGCGGATGTTTATGGGCAGCGGTCCATTTCCATTTCGGTGCATTCAGGTGGCCGCTTGCTCTTTTGCCACCTTAAATTATAAAAAAAAATCTTACTAATGTTATAAATGTGAAAGTTTAGATGTATGGATGTTTGTTGAACTGATCTCGACTTAATTTGGCTGTATAGCATATTTTGGAAGAACATATACTTACTTTTGTTTTTATTCCACTCGGACGGAGCTACGGCCGAAAGCTAGTATTAAAGTAGGAATATTCGCAATATTAAAATTACATAACTGAGTACATACATATTTGAATTAAAATGTGCTACAAAATAAATAATAAATTTTATTCCAAACGAAGTATCATAGGAGAAATTAAATTTTCAAAGAAAGTACATCTTATAAGATATCCTTTTAAGTTCTGATCTTAAAATAGTGGCCATTCATAAATGTTTAATGCAATTTACTTAGCTCGAAGACTGTGCTTTTAAAATACATAAATTGCAAGCCATCATATTTTGCATTCACGGTCCGACTTTAACTGCATAATTTACTAACTGGTCTCGGTATAGAATTAAATTTTACTGATCTTAATGAAAACATTGATATTTAAAATACTCTTAACTTTTCTATGGGTGAGGATATCTTTATAAGAAGACGGTTTGACCCACTGAAACTACATTGACCCACCTCTAATGTATAAGAAGAGGGTTCCAGAATATTAAAGAAAAGCACACAGCTCTTTACTACCCATGAGGCAGGACTCTCTCTAAAGTTTCATAGTGCTACGGTCAACTTCTGTCCGCGTTAGATTACCGTCTTACAGAGATAATTTCTTTAAGAGCAAATTTTATTATACACTAGCTGTCACCCGCGACTACGTCCGCGTGTAATAAAAAATGTTTAAATATTTTAAGTGTTCATCATGCTATTTTATCATGCCGTTTAGGAGATATCCTCTAACAAAAATCCATTAAAAATGGTTTTTGCGCTTATATTATTAGTAAGATTTTGTTAAAATTAAAACCAGTTGTAACAAATTATAACGAGTCGTCAGAGTACGAAATGGACATAAATTGTGGTACCCATTTCGTAGCTTATAAAGTGGCTGCAGTAAAATATTGGATTTAGTCGTAACTGGAACGAGATCCCTCAGTACGCTAATGAAAATTATTTAATAGCTTGGGGCTACAGAGCTTATACGAAATACCGAGATTACGGCTTATTTGGTGGGAATTATTACTTCCTGATGATAATATTTGTAATTTTAATTTTAGTATTGTATGAACAGCGTTTATTAGGTATGTAACGAAACATGTATGGATGAAAGCAAAAAATTGGATGGATGTATGTATCCGTACATCTTTGTTACTACTCCTAAACGGATAAACGGATATTTAGAATTTCTGTTAGAGATAATTTAAGGTCAGCTAATGTAGTCTTTAAAATATCAGCTACAGATAAATATTTAGGCCGCTAGTCACATTGATATAAGAAACAGAAAAGATTCTGCCCAAGTGAGTTTCTAAATGTTTTATGGTAGTCGTGGTAGTAGTTCGAACGTGACTATTTATTGACCGACTTCTAAAAGAAGGATGTACTTAATTCGTCTGTTTATTTTTTAAGTGTGTGTGCATAACTTTACCCCTAGTGGCCCACATTTGTAAATACCCTTTTTTATCCGAATGGTAGTACTTGCAGGTGGGTCCAATTTTTGAAGTCAAATTCTACGGCGTAGTTAAATAATGGTCTTTTTTTCTTTCTTTGCTTATTGATTTATGGTTCTACTAGCTTTCGTCCGCGACTCCGTCCGCGTGGAATTAAAAAAAGCAAAAGTAAGTAGCCTATGTGTTCTTCCAGATTATCCTCTACATCCATACCAAGTTTCATCGAAATCCGTTCATCTGTTTAGGCTACAAATTCTAACAAACATCCATCCATCGATCTAAATTTTCGCATTTACAATATTAGTAAGTACTAGCTGTTCCCCTGCGGCTTCATCCGCATGAAATTATGAAAATTTTATTTTATTGTTTACATTTATCAAAAAATCAAACCTTGGTACCTTGATGTTGGCAGCAATTTATGGTCTCGCTCCCACATTAGGGTTTTTATCCAAAATATTTACCCCCTAAGTTTAATAGCGTGAAAATATATAGCCTAAAGCGTGACGTAAGTTTAGGCCTTTTTTTTAAATAAAGAATTATTCAAAAATATGCTGTAATTGCTGACATCTTAGGCAACAAAGAAGTGTGTGTTTACGCTTTATTATAATAGTATAGATGAAGTCTGATTAAAATATTAGTATGATTGATATTCATAATAATTCATTTCAATCCATATTTCTTTGCAAAATTAGTAGATAGTTTTGAAAAATTTAGTTATATTTGTATATCATAAATTAAATTTAAGGTCTTAAATTTGTTAGACAACTGCAATGTTAGTGTTGTTTGCGAGTGAGTTGGGTGAAACTTTGCCAAATCTGAAATTGAATTCAGAAGTTGGCAGATGGTACAGCGACAATCGATCTTCTCTGGTCTATCCTGAATACTTAATGCTGTATAGTATTTGCTTTGTATAGTAGTATCAAAGTTTAACATATTGAGTTTTGATAATAGTGAAATATTGAGTACTGTGTTAAGTAAAGATTTTTTATGAAAGAATGGGCCACGATCACATAGACTGGCATGAAGTGGGAAAAATTCTTATTCCTCTGATGAGTATGAATACTGGAGGTCTAATTTTGGACGCATCGATATGTATAGCCTAATTTTAATCCCTTTCCCTTTCCATCCTTTTCTTAAGAGGAGAGGATGGGAAGGAAAAGTGGATTTGACGGTAGAGGAGACGCATAGGAAGGGGAAATATCCTTTGATGTGCGTCTCCTCCTAGGTCAATTACGGGTAGGTAATGCATCTGCAATTGCGGATGTTTATGGGCAGCGGTCGCTTTCCATTTCGGTGGATTCAGGTGGCCACTTGCTCGTTTGCCACCTACTATTAAAAAAAAATATTTGTTAGAGTTTGTAGCCTAAACTGATTAACGTATCTTTATGAAATTTGGAATAGACGTAGAATGTAGTCTGGAGGAACACATAGGGTACTTTACGAGTGCACTACCTTTGCTTTTTTCAACTCCACGCGCAAGAAGTCGCTGGCGAAAGCTAGTTTATTATAATATTTATAATAAGATCTAGGTGTCTTTCGTAACAACGAGAAAGTCAACAAAGTTGTAAAATACAACACACGATAAAAGCATAAAAAATAAATGTCAATACTAAAACAACGACAAATTCTCGCTTTACTTGATAATATCACAAAGTGTACCGTTTTTGAGATATGCAAGATAACTTTGAATAATAAATTTGTTTTCAAGACGCTATTTTGCATAAATTGTTGTCACACAGAAATATAAATAAACTAGCTTTCGCCCGCGACTCCATCCGCGTGAAATAAAAAAAGTGTGCAGCCTATGTGTCCTTCCAGACTATCCAGATATCTGTACCAAATTTTATTAAAATCCTTTCTTTTGTTAAGGCTACAAACTAACAAACATCCATCTAAACTTTTGAATTTATAATATTGTAAGAAGTAAGATCGTAAGAAGAGAACATAATGCCTTTTTCAGACTGATTTAAAACTGTTAATATACCCAATATTTTTAAGGACAATAAAAAGAGTTTTATGAATAGCTTTAAATATATTAAATGAGACATCCGGAGCAGTCAAGGATTACAAAGGTATTATGGCATACTAAAAACTTTCCTTTGTTCATATAATGAGTATGAGCGAAGCATTATAAAATTACAAATTGTGCTACACTAAGCTCTTTAAACAGGCTTCATTTACCGGGAAGTGAAAACTGACACGCGGGAAAAATCAGCTCCCTTCAATAGCCATTTCATTTCTAAGCTATACTAATATTATAAAGCGTAAACACACACTACTTTGTGACGCAGGATGTCAGCAATCACAGCATATTTTTGAATAATTCTTTCTTTAATAATAAGCCCTACACTTACCACACGCTTTAGGTTAAATATTTACACGCTATTAAACTTAGGAGGTAAATAAATTTAAAAAAAAACCTTCAATTGGGAAAGAGTCCGTAAACTACAAGCTGCCAACATTAAGGAAGCAAGGTTATTTGTTACGGTAATTTTGACATTTACAATCGAGAATTAGACAAATGTAAACAATAAAATAAAGTTTTTATAATGTCATGCGGGTGAAGCCGCACGGGAACAGCTAGTTTATTTACATAACAATAGCATTTTGTGTTTATTAGATTAGCATAATAGTTTTATGACCAATAAGACGTTTACAAATGTCAAAACCTTTCTAATTTTAACATTTTCATCTT